ACTTTGCATAGGTCTTATAAATACCCCCAGCGGGAGTCGAACCGTAGCAGTGCAGAATGTGAGCTTGACGCGTTAACCACGAGTGACCTTGGAGCACAGGGCAGATGTGTATTTTCCCATATCACATTCTTTGGTAGTATTGTCGATGAAACAAACGTATTTTTGCTATAACAATCGACTGCATTACGTATCTTTTGTATATAAGTAGATTTTGGAAAATTCTACCATCAATCTTCCACACCTCTAACGAAATAGGGTGAATACATTTCATACAATTGATTTACTCGTAATCTCGAAACTCTACTTATATATGAAAAATAAGGGTTAAATAGTTCGGCCATGAGATGAAATAGCAATGGACATAAGTATGGCATACAGCTTAGCATCAATAATATTACAAGCAGTAAAGTCATAGCAATTCTGGTTCGGCTACCCAAAAAGTGACGAGTATTGGATGGCTTGGGAGTATAAAATATTAGTTTTCATTATTTCGACTCCATGCAGCTTGCATAATGAAATCACTACTTGATTGTAATACAATTATGACAACGCTTTCTACATTACCATGATTAGTAATACCATCTTTGTACATTGGTGTTTAAGCAGCGTAAATATATCCTTATATAAGTTGGCCGCCCTAACACCTAATTCAGAAGTTACGCTTCTATTAAAATCAGTCGGAGAATGTATTTAACAGAGAACCGAATCTAAGGACACATAAAAATCTCTAATGAATATAATACCTAGGCGTGCTAACCTACGATGGCTATATTACTTCACCCACTAATGGAATACTAGGTTAATCGAAAAGAAGCTCAGAAATGTTCGTATTTCAATCGTAATTAAGTAAACTGCTCAATGGTAGTGATGGAAAATATGGAAGTTTAAGCTGGATTCAGTATATAAATCACTATTTCCTATAGATACTTTAAATTGTTAAGCTAGTAACATTCAGGAATCTATGAAATCAGTAATTAAACAGCTTGTACAAACAGTTCTGGCATATTAAAATAATTGCGAAAATTTTCATATGAAAGATGCGGAAGCTTATAAATTGGTTTGTTGTGCTTAATTCAATTTCGAGTGAAAGTGTTTGGTGAAGAGATTCGAAGTTCGATTCCACCAGAAGATGACGGCAGATTCCTCTTGACCAGCTGTCGATTGGCTGTACTGGAACATTAATGGTGACGTTGCTTCCAAGACAATCTCCTTTAATTGCGGTAAAAAAGCTTTCGTCAGTCATATGACGAACATCATCAGAGCAAAGTATCATCGTCACAACAAAATACAAGCCAACGAGTTAAAAAAATTCACCGGCAAATCCCTAAAAAGTGGTATATATACTATACACCTGGCTTCTTTGATCAAGTATAAAGTGATTTGGTTAGTTAAGGTCATATGTCAACTTCGATGCCTGTGACTGTGTCTTTCTCTGTGGCTCGTTAGCTTGAATTTGGTTGTGACAATGATACCTTGTTCTGATGATGTTCGTCATATGACGGACGAAAGCTTAGCACCTTTTCACCGGAATCGAAGGAGATTACCTCGGGAACAGCATCAGAATAAATGTTACAGCCAATCAACAGCTCGTCAAGAGGACTCCGCCGTCGTCTTCTGGTGGAATCGACCTTCAAATCTCTTCACTAAACACTTCGCTCGAAATGGAGGTAAGCACAACAATAATGAAACAAGAGATTCCTCGAAATCTAACTTTTCTTCGCATCTAGAGAGCTTAACCAGAGGGCAATGCCACAAACATTAAAAGGGTTTAGGAGTAAGGAGAAACGTTGAATGTATTCTGGTCAAACCTGTATTCTGTATCCTCATCCAAGTGGCCATTGCAGTAGAGAGATAAAATCAGGTTTGGACAGCTTTGTGACCCCACTAGAAATGTGACGTCTTTTAACCGGAGGCTCGCCTCCACGGCTTCAATGTTGCCCGTAATATTGTTGTCAATTCCATTAGATGTATTGAAATTTTCTTCGTTAGGAGATAATTGAGCAATGACGCCAAAATCGATGCCATTTGACGGTGTAGGCTCCTCGTTTGTCATCGTCGGAATGAAGAGCGGCATGGTACTAAAGTCAAAAGAGCCATCATTTTGATAGATAACGCGAGCTTTGGGCACTTCTGTTGAAGTTAATAAATCAACGTTGGCATTCTGCGTGGTTGGGAGAGCCCTCCGCTGTATCTTCACTTCCCAGACGCCAGATTCAATTGTGTGCTGGCGCAGCCAACTCTGCTTACAGAAAAACAGGAGGTACATGCCCAAGTGAATGTGTGTAAAGTTAGTAAATACACACGTATTTCATATATATAATGAAATGGTACATCAAAGAAGACTAAGTGGCTGAGTGACTCGCCTGAACTCTGCGCTGGTGCCAGTGGAAATTTTAAATGCTTGACTTAGGTAAGGGTCCACAAGGAGCCATGCTTTGCTGTAGGTATCGCATCCTCCTCAGTAAGGAACATCAAAATATCCATATTAATGGGCAAACGAAGTGCATTTATGGGTTACCTGAGCTCCTGCCTAAGCTTAGTTATGTCAAGAAGATACGTTTATAGTAGTTGTTTGATTTTGCTTTCGCAACATGGTGGCAGGAAGACCTAGAGGAACGCACCTTGTCCGGGTACCATAGTATACATGATAATTTCCAGAGTCGGACCGTGGACTTGGTACATTCTCAGACGTTTCGCCGACATCGCCAATGAGTCTTACCATTCTCAGAACTAAACTACAACTCGTAAAAGAGACAAGTTGGTCAAAAGATTGACTTCATTTATCTGTAGTTGGGTGCTAAGAATGTCATGCCTCACTGACGATGCCGGCGAAACGTCTGGGAATGTACCAAGTCCACGGTCCGGCTCTGGAAATTATCATGCACATTACGGACTGTCTGTCGATAAGTATAATGTTGACTTCTATTTGGCTTTAGTTGTTTGCGAGAAGCGTTGGTTAAAAGTTACCACTTCATTTATAATTCCTTTTTCAGTATATTTGCTATTTGCGTGATAGCACCCTTATTTTAATTATCGTTATGCCATAATTTATAAAATTGTTATGAACCTGAAATAATCCAACTACATTTTGAGGATTTGTGCCACCTGATTAAAAGATGGAGAACATAAGAGTATGGAGCTAAAGTTGTACACATATCAGGTGTACAGAGCAGGAGGAAAGCAGAAGCTGGAGGGGAGCAACCAAAAGAGCCTGCTGGAGTTGTTTAGCCGGCGTGTAGATAACAATCAATAGGACGCTGCAAGGACTTAAAGTGGATAGTTGACGTTAATTAAACGTCGGCCCAGCAGCAGTTACTATGCCTCTGCGGAGCAAGTGTAGTCCAGTGGATACAAACGCAATGAAACAGACGTTTGCGGACTTCGTCTGGGCTTGGTCATCCT